GGCACATTGTTGCACGACGCGCCTTTTTGCAACAATGTGCAATTTTCGGGGGCGACTTTCGGCAACAAAGTTGCAAACCTGTAACGCGTTTGCAACAATGTGCAATTTTCGGGAGCGTCTTTCGGCAACAAAGTTGCAAACCTGTAACGCGTTTGCAACAATGTGCAATTTTCGGGAGCGATTCGCAGCAACAAAGTTGCATAACGGGGAGATCGTGCTTGCAACTTTGTTGCCGAAAGTCGCTCCCGAAAATTGCACAATGTTGCAAACGTGTTCTGGGTTTGCAACTTTGTTGTCGCCAAAAATTTGCACATTGTTGCACGACGCGCCTTTTTGCAACAATGTGCAATTTTCGGGAGCGATTCGCAGCAACAACGTTGCATAACGGAGAGATCGTGCTTGCAACTTTGTTGCCGAAAATCGCTCCCGAAAATTGCACAATGTTGCAAACGTGTTCTGGGTTTGCAACTTTGTTGTCGCGAAAATTGGCACATTGTTGCACGACGCGCCTTTTTGCAACAATGTGCAATTTTCGGGAGCGATTCGCAGCAACAACGTTGCATAACGGGGAGATCGTGCTTGCAACTTTGTTGCCGAAGTCGCTCCCGAAAATTGCACATTGTTGCAAAAAGGCGCGTCGTGCAACAATGTGCAAATTTTCGCGACAACAAAGTTGCAAACCCAGAACACGTTTGCAACATTGTGCAATTTTCGGGAGCGATTTTCGGCAACAAAGTTGCAAACCTGTAACGCGTTTGCAACAATGTACAATTTTGAGGAGCGACTTTCGGCAACAAAGTTGCAAACCCGGTAACGCGTTTGCAACACTGTGCAACTTTCGGGAGCGACTCTCGACAGCAAAGTTGCAAACCCGACAGCGCGTTTGCTGCATTGTGACTCGCTTAGCCTCTCGAAAAGACGTTCATTGTTGCAAGCGCATTTTCTCGCTGTTGCAACTTTTTGAAGCGCACGTATTTTCGTTTGTAACGCTGTACGACATGTAAAATATTGTTGTATGCAGTACTTTGTCAGCAAAACATTGCCACAAGCATTTACTTGAACACTTGTGTTCGAATGAAAAAATGCAAAGCCACATTTTCAACTTAGTCATCTATGGATAATGCAGCTTGCACGAAAGCATCTGTATGGAAAATATATGCATTAACCGTGTTCCTTATTAAATTAAGTTTTCTACTAGGTACAGATTTCATCCCATTCGAAATGAAATATACTTACGATACAATTGAAACCTCCCAAAGTGTTTTCTCTTCTCTCAGATAATGTTACCAATCGAATTCTTAGAACCCTCCACCGATCAACCAGCAAAAACGACACACAGAAATAATAATATCGAAGTTTCAAAACAGTACCGTTCATAATTCTTACCTACCTCTCGTACAATATCTTAAAGCAATTTACGAGCACATCAGTTTCCACGTCCATTCGATTCACCCTCGTGAGCAACCTCGTGAGGAATCGATCGCGGGCACCCTTTGCAGTGAAAAAATTAATATCTTCATTACTTTCGTGAATTATTATTTACCACATAAATTATATGCAACACTCGTCAATCAGATTAATCGTTAATTTCTTTGAACATTCGTTATTCTGTTCTTTAACGAAGCCTAGTATCGCCGATACAGAACAGACGTAGATCTCCTCTGTTTCGTTTCACGACTCTTTACGAGGAAACGTTCCGTCCACCTGCAGTTCGAAGGCTCTAATCGAGGGAACAGGTATCGAGAGGTAGCGCGCGGTGGCCATTTTGTCGGAACTCTGCGAGCCTTCTCGGTTCGTTAGCCACGAGTCAATTTCCTACGCGGCTCGCTCTCAAGCACCGGCGAAACCAAAAAGGTTTGAATGCTTTTCCGCGTGCATCGCGGAAACCGCGTTGATTTTTCGCGTAAGAACGTCCGGTCGATCGACATTTTCGCCTTTTCTGCGAATAAATACGACCGTTGACAGCGTTCAGAAAGAAAGAAACGCAGGAAAATTTCAAGAGCTGCGAAAATTAAAGAGAATTTAAAGGGCTGAGCTTTGCTATTTAAAGACATTTCTTTTGTTACTTTTCAGTTCGAATTCTCCACAATTTTTCACTGGAAATTCACTTAAAACTTCGTTAAATTCGTAAAGATTTCAGTGTTGAATTTTAACTTAACAGAATACAAAGATCGTAGCTCTCGTTGATACAATTTACTCTCATTAACGTAAGAATTAGCCGGAGTAACAGTTAGCGTATGGACAGGAACTGCGTTAAAGTGGACGAATCGGTTTTCACTGGTAGTTTCGTGTTCGGTATACCTATCTCCCTGACGTTTTCCTGTCGGAGATTTTCGCAACAGTCGACTCGATTCACGCGAACTTCAGGTGATCCAATTACGCCACTCGGTTCAATGAGATGGATCCTCTTTGAAGTGGCGAATCAACCTGGACGCTGAGAATCGTAGTTTTGAACTTCGCGAGAAGGTTCTGCTAGGCGATCTCTGGTACAGGAAACGACTGTGGCGATGCTTTGACACTTCGACGAGGCATTGTTATCCTCGAGTAAACTATTCCAAGTGTATCTGTGATCTACGAATAAAAAAAAAAAACGAACAACAAACATCCACGAAGAGTATTAAAATTTCAAAAAAAAAAAAAATAGATACATTCAATACGTTCACTTTTTATTCTCTCCGATTAACCCTTTGCGATCGGCACATTTCTCTGGTTGGACTACCAGCTAGTCGGAGCAAATTTAGATTTTTAAAGTTATTTTTGCATAGTTGATTTATTATATATATAAGGATATTGAAAAACAGAATATTTTGAAACTGATACATTTTGTTTAATACATACTAGTTATAGTGCATAAAAATAAAACGTTTTAATTTTTGTAATTTTCCAAAGTATGATACTTGACAAAACAAAGATCATGCCGCCATAGCGGCGACACCGATTTCTAGAACAAAATTGAAATGCCGCCACTATGGCGGCACCGATCGCAAAGGGTTAAAGCAACGTTTCAAAAATATTTCTTCCGGTAAACGTACAAAAGTATCTAAAAAAAAAAAAGGAAAAAATATTCCAGCGAAAGCGCGAATTCTTCCATTCGTTTTCCCAATAGGATCGCGTTTCCGTGTAATTAAATCGAACGGGCGAAAGCGCGCGATGGCGGACGCAAAAACGCCGAACGAGGGCAAGATCGCTTTAAATCAATCGGCGTTCGCGCAAT